AAGGTGTCAGCCTCTAGGTAACCTCTTCTAATGCACAAGTTACCTTCATAATGAGACGGTTTACTTCATATCCAACCTAAACTTGCCCAGCTGCAATTTAAGACCATTGTTCCTTGTCCCATTTGCAGCAGCCACCACAAGCAGTCTATCACAGGGGTTGGAAATGTGTTTGGGCCAAGTGCTGAAAAACCACTTAACCTGGGCTTAGAAGATGTTGGCATGCCAGGCAGGGGAGCTGCAAGGGACCAATCTGTGTGGTAGTACAGGCCCTGGCCCCTTGCTCCACTGTGTGCCTCAAGGCACATGTGCAGCCACTTTTCATCAGTGAGCTGGGCTAGGACTTGGGATTTTGGTGCAGCCACTTGCAGCTGCTGTTGTGAGCAGCCTGGGCTTTTTATACCAGGCAGCTGCAAGCAGCTGCACTAGGGGCCACAGCCCTGGCCTGGCTCATTGCCAGCAGGGGCTGCACATAAGCTTAGGAGGAGCAGGGAAAGGGCTGTGCTGTCCCCAGTCCCTTCACTGTGGGCAGAGGCACATGTGCAACCACCCCAGTGCAGTTATTTGCAGCAGGTCTCACCTGCTATGAACAACCCAGGTTGTGGCAGCAGTGGCTGCACCATGTATACCTCAGGGATACATGGCAGGGAAGAGGCATGGGGGCAGAACAGCCCAGTGCACCAGTTACAGCCTCCCAGCAGCCTGCCACATCCAGCCCAGACTCTGGGCAGCTGCTGCCTGCTGCAGAGCCTTGCCTCCCTGCTGCTTGCTGTGAGCAGCCTGGTCTCCATGGCCAGCAGGAGCTGCCCAGAGCCCAGGCTGGCTGTGGCATACCAAGTAAAGTAGCCATGCTGTGGCACATGTGCCAGGTGCTGCTGACCCCTAGTCTACCACCATCCTTTGTGTAACCACCTTTCAGGTAGTTGAAGACTTATCAAATTTCTTCCTAGCTTTTTTGTGCAAGTAATCCTGTTCCCCATAATTTAAGTTTCCCAGACCTCTATTCATGTGTTGCTTTTGCTAAACTCTATCCAATCTGTCCACATCTTTCTTGAAGTGTAGTGCCCCAAACTGGGCAGTAATCCAGGTGAGTTCTCAGAGTGGGTAGCAGTGGGGGAGGGAGGAAAGAGTTCCCTTAACTTTTAAGGTGGCACTTATTGATACAACCCAGCTATTGGCTTTTTTGGCAAAAACAAACACTGTTGTCTCTTATTCAGTTTATAACCCACTAGGTCTTTTTTGTAGTACCACAGCCTAGCTAGTCATTCCCTAGTGTGTATTTATATATGTGATTGTTCTGTTTCCCAGCGTAGGACTTTCCTCTTCCTTACTGAATCCTCAGTTAATTTCACATCATTTCTCATTTAGCAAGGTCATCCTAACATCACCCTCCAAAGTGTCTACAACTCTACCCATCTTTAAGTGTGCACTCAATTCAGTCCCCCCCATTCTTAAAGAAGATATGAAGGAGCATCACATTCAGGACAAGCCCTGGGGAATCCTACTTAATACCTCCTCCCAACTAGATACAGTGCTCCAACTAGTTATGTAATCATGTTGCGGTACTTTCATGTAGACCAACAGTTCCCAATCTGTGGTACATATTAATAGATTTATTATAATTACTTGATAATTATCAAAATTTGTTGGTGGTACTTAAGGTTGTATTGTTTTAAATTGGTGCTGTATCTGTCAGAGTTTGGGAACTGCTGATGTAGACCAGTGGTCTCCAAACTTTTTTTGATTGCACACCCCATCAGTAAAAAAAATTTGAGCACGCACCCCCTTCTTAGCAGTGGACATAGGCCTACCAAAAGTCCAGGAAGACTTCGACACTGTCTCTCACCCTGTTCACATTAAGAAACTGGGGGACTCTGGTGTCAACACCCACAGTCAATTGGGTCGCCAACTGGCTGGAGGGTGGCACCCAGAGAGTGGTGGTAGACGGGTCATTTTCAGCCTGGAGGGATGTGAGCAGCAGGGTCCGCAGGGCTTGATCGTTGGACCCACACTGTTCAACATCTTCATCAGTGACTTGGACAAGGGGGTAAGAAGCACCCTGTTCAAATTTGCTGATGACACTAAGATGTTGGGGGGATGTGAGCATATTAGAAGGAAGGAATAGGCTACAATCAGACCTAGACAGGTTACAGGGGTGGGCAGATGAGAATAGGATGGGTTTCAACACCAACAAGTGCAAAGTGATGCACCTGGGGAATAACAACCAGCACCATACCTACAGGTTGGGGAACTCCATTCTTGTCAGTACAGAGGCAGAAGAGGATCTTGGAGTCATCATTGACTCCAAGATGAATATGGGCTGGCACTGTGGGGATGCAGTGAGGAAGGCCAACCGTATCTTGTCTTGCATCCACAGATGCATCTCAAGCAGGTCCAAGGAGGTGATCCTCCCCCTCTATGCTGCAGCTGGAGTACTGCATCCAGTTCTGGGCACTGCACTTCAGGAGGGATTTGGACAACATGGAGAGGGTCCAGAGGAGGGCCACTTGCATGATCGGGGCAGCAGGGCAGGCCCTACGAGGAGAGGCTACGGGACCTGAACCTGTTCAGCCTCCATAAGAGAAGGCTGAGGGGGATCTAGTGGCCTGTTACAAACTAGTCAGGGGGGACCAGCAGCCATTGGGTGAGTCCCTGTTCCCCTGAGCACTACCAGGAGTGACCAGGAATAACAGTCACAAGCTGGCAGAGGGTAGATTCAGACTAGACATCAGGAGGCGCTACTTCACTCTCAGGGTGGCTAGGATCTGGAACCAACTTCCAAGAGAAAAGTGGTGCTGGCTCCTACCCTGGGGGTTTTTAAGACAAGGCCTGACAATCACCCTGCTGGGGTTGTTTGACCCCAGTACTCTTTCCTGCCATGGCAGGGGGTCAGACTTGATGATCTACTCAGGTCCCTTCCAACCCTAGAAGGTATGAAACCCCCAATATATGTATACTTATTTATAAGTTTGGACACCACTGTACACTGTACTTCCACATTGTGGAACTCCCACTCTTCCCTCAGGATACCTCACGTACCACATGTGACCATCTGACATACGGACCAAGTGAGGGTTCCAGTGTCAATCCATATATTAAATTAGTAAAGCTTAATTTCTCTCCTTTTTTTTAGATAAAAATAAATATAAATAGTTCTGATATTTTCTTCCTGCACCCCACTTTGGAGACCACTGATGTATACAGTATTCCCTTAGCTTACTAAAAGGAATGCCATGGAAACTGTCAAATGCCAGACTGAAATTCCCTCCCCCTGCATAAAGTACAAGGAGGGTCTAGTGTGCATTTTTCCAAGTTTCTGGTATATTCAGATTTTCACAGAATGCAGCAAAACCAGGATGTTTCTTTTTTGGTTGTTGAGCTGTAGCTATAGCTGATGGACTCCCCAATCCAGAGCAGTGACAAGAAAGATGTGCCCATGTAATCATTGCAAGATTTCCATCAGTTCCAGGGAAAACAGTGAGGTTTAGCTACAGTAGCCCAACTACCAAAATAAAGCCAACATACAATACATACCAGCATGTCCAAGTAATTTGTATGGGTTTGAATATTATGTCCATCTTCTACTGCAACCTTCTTAAAATTCTTAAGTTTCACTGGGGCTTTTCTTGCCACTCTAAAAAAAGGGACCATCCACGCAACACATTCTGAAATACCATCCCAATCTAAACCTAAAGGGCAAGGAAAAATTATATTATACACAATAGAGCTGCACACATCATGTCAGCTTGCATATATCTGGACTGTACATCTGTCCTCTCCACCCACTATTCTGACAAGACAATTCAGTCACGCAGCTGACAGGTCTTTTTTTTCCCCTTGTGGATACCCCTAATTATTCATGCAACAGCCCTCTGCACTTTTTTTTTTTTTTTTTATGGTCAAGTACTTGCATGAGGATCAATGCATGGAATGATTTGGTTGCAAAAATAAGAGCCAATTTTTCTTTGTAGGTTAAACACAAGCAGCAATGGATGGCTACAACCAACACACAGTATAGGCATACATCTTAAAAGGCAGCTATACTGCATATTTTGTGACCACTAAGCTGGATTTTCCCCCCCCAAAAGCTGTAAGTTTTTCCATCTGTCTACAATGACTGACTATATATTGCATATATTAGCAACTTTGCACATGTTAAGAGCCACTAAGCTGTATGCATCTATATGGAACTACAGCAGCACAGAAAAGCATGTTTTAAGATTTGTTTAAAGACATTCTAAATCTACTAAAGGAACAGGCAGAAAATGGTAAATAGAAAAAAAAAAAAACAGGGCTCCTGAGAAACTCCGATGAATAAGAGCAGAGGTCTTAGAGACCTCCACTCTTACTATTAGAGGTCTCACCACTTCCATTAGCAAAAAGTTCAACAGACATCAAAATAGCATAGATAACCACTACACCTTTAATTATTTGGGGTGGAGTGGGGGAAAATGCACACAGGTCTTAAAGCAGCAGAGTAGGGATAAGTTCTCAGCCTGGAACATCCACTGAGTTACCTCGCTTTGCCATCATCCGGATCATTCACTTCACAGCCAACATGACAGGACAGTTTGATTTTAGAGACAGTTTCATTTTTAGAGTAGCCAAGTGTTGACTAATTTGGACCAACTGTCAAGTGATAGATTCTCTCTGATAATATTGTAATTTTTGCCTAATATTTACTATCTTAGTCTTCTATTGATTAGACATCAGGATCTCAAAAATTATGTTGTTACCCTCCCCACCCCACTCAAGTTCCCTTGCTATTGACTCACATACCAGCCAGCCTTCCCCCCCAAAGATATTAAAAAAACAACAAACCTGCATATTAAAAGGGCTGTGGGGTTAACTGGCCCACCCCCCATTATTTTATTAGCATCTGAATTGAATTTTTCATACCATCACCCTACTTTCTACAACTTCTAACTTGTCCTCCCCTGTACTATAGGAAAATATTCTGGGTTGTCTGCTTTAGAAGAGATATTTACATTTGATCATGTACTGCTATTGACAGCCAAGGAAGACTGAATGGAAACAGGTTAACACCTATAAGAACTACAAGAAATAGAAAAAATGGTAAGAACTAGAGCTAGATCATGAATTGCTAGTGACATGACACTAGTTGCATTAAAAGGGAGCAAAGGCATGTAACTAGCAATATCAAGAGCACCTAAAACTGTTTTCCCCCCAAATATTTTGTACTTTTGTGAATCTGGTTGTTTGTTAAAAAAATTCTGGAAGAAAATAAAAATATTTGCTCCCTACAGTTTTACTGGGGCTGCAAATATGGAAATTGACCCAAGATAGTACAGAAACTTAACACCTCTCTCTTTAGGCAAGGCTGAGAAGTGGAGGGGGGGGGAAAGTACATGAGCATGAACTATTTTTAAAGCCTATCAATTCTAATAGCCTTAGTTCAATTTGCTAGAAAACTGTACTGTTCCAAGAGTTTAAAGTTAATTGTAACCACATGAGCCTTTAGGAGCCATCATAGTAACTGTCTAGTTTACCTGAAGCTTTCTTAACTACTTCAATTGAGGTATAGTGACAGAGTGCAGCAGCAGCCAGTGTCCTATACTGGAAGTCCAGAGAATTGACATCTAGAATACATAGGTCTAATAGCTGTGGAAACAATAAGGTTACAAAGTTTCTGTTATAACAAGGAAAGATTCCCAGAAACATAGGATGAAGCCTACCACTACAAAGATACACTGTACCATGGTTATTATATTCAAACATGCACAAGCCAGTTAAAAAGTTAGCTATCATGAAACTTTCAAAAGGAAACTTTAACCTTGTGTTACAGACTAATGAACTAAAAAGATACAGGGATACAAAGTTGCATTTGTTAAACAAAGTCAGTTTTCACATCAATTTTGGTTACCCTTGGAAGCTTCCTGCATATACACAAAATATAGACAGCATCAAAATAAGGATCACTGAATTGGGGCACAGTCATTTACTGTTCTGCTTACAGGCTGATGAGAGCCATCCAAGACAATTTTGTGTACTCCTACAGCAGATTGTAGAAGTCCAGGGAGGTATTAATCATAAATGCAAGCATATGGCAATTAAGTCATCCCCATCCATAATTAAACAGATACTTCATACCGATTGCTAGCTAGAATTGCTTTTACAGTGAACTGGCTCTCTCAGTTAACATCTTGCCTGGATAAGCCATCGTAGGCCTGAACACAAGAGTCCATAGGATCTAAATTATTTCAGGTATCAAGATTTCTTTTCCCAGAATTCAATCTTATTTTCATATACCAAACTTGTTTACCCTCTTATTTCTTACACTGCTGACAATTATCAGTGCATTCCTGAAGACTGGAACCAACACCATGAACATTTTTTGTACTAAGTTTTATTTTCATTTATTGATATGTAGCTTGAGTTCATATCTTCAAAACCTTTGCCACCCAAGAAGCATGCTTTGTGTTGCACTCTAGTCCTATGCACCCAACACTAAATAGACACTTATTGTTTAGTCCTACAGCATGGATTTCATAACTAGTTACAGACAGACTAGTGCAAGATAGTTAAAATCATCCAAGGAAGAAAGAAAGCCCACCATAGCCATTCTCAACCTTTCTAGACTCAAGGCATCCCTTGCACAATGCCAGTTCTTATTTTTCACTTGTTTTTGACTACAGAAAGATAAAGCAGTTCTATTGAAAGAAACCACAAGATAGGCCACAACAGGTCAGAATTTTTTTGGAACTATGGATTCTTACTTGCAAGATAAACCCAGAGATTTCAAGTCACATTTGCAATGCACACCTTGAAATGCTACTGTTGTATATAGCATTCCATGGCACCCTTGAAAGGATCTTAAGGCACCCCAGGGTGTCATGGTACCCTTGCTGAGAATTACTATTATAAATATTTAGCAAACTGTTGGCATTCAACCAATATTAAGGTTTTAACCCCCCCCTTTTACATTGTAACATTAATCTATTTTATAAGGCTTAATATGTTCTTGGAGATCTTGACATGGGGCTACCCCGGGGGGGGGGGGGGGGGGGGGGG